AAAGTGATCGCTGCCTAGGATTTGGCCTAAATTTTCCCATGTAGCATCGCAGATGTGACGGGTGAGGGAGAGGTCGGGGCATGTGTCTCGCGTGACCGAGTTGCCGGAACGTGTGGGTTGTGCCGGATCGGTAAGAAGCGTCAGGCTAAGCGACGAAATGAGCTCCTTGAGCTCTCTGCCCCGGGCCTTCTCGTAGTGGTAACCCCAGTGAGGGCTGGGGGCATTAAAGTCCCCGACAATCACCAGTGGTTGTCGGGCCGCTATACGCAGCGCCCGATGGAAGAGATGCGCAAACGAAGCCCTCGCAAGGCGAGGTGGACAGTACACGTTTAAGATATGTATTGATGGTTGGCCCCTCCGCTGAGACAGCACTGACATCATGCAGTAGTCGTAAGGGAGATCCAGATCGAGGTCAATCTGTATCGCTGTGTAAGCTTTATGCACGAGGAGGCATGTGGTGGTGCCGCCTACATCGGAGCAGTATCCAGAAAGGGATGCAGCAGGGCCAGATTCTTGGAGCGCCAAGACGGCCGGCTGAGAGCCAAGTGAGCTGAGGAAAAGGGAAAGATGTGAACGCTTTCGCCTGTTCCCGAAGCCTCCAGGGTTCCACTGTATGATCTCGAATTTAGACGCAATGTTTGAACGGGAAGTACGATTGGTAGCCATCGTGACTGCCTTAGGTTTTATATTTGGTCCTCCATGTCCCGCTCGGAATCCTCAGAGGCAAGGAGGGGCACGGAGGCCGGATTGTCCGATGGCGGGGTGGTGGTAGCCACCTTACGACGACGCCGTGGAGCTGTACCCTCACTGCTCACCGAGCAGGAGCGGGAACGCGATGCCTTGGGTTGAAACTGGGTGATTGCCCAGGCTTGAATAGCCTGGGTAACCTCTAATACTATGCGTTGGACCGAGAAGCTGGTGAGGAGGTGATTAATCGAAGCTTCGACACGCGTGAGACGTTCCTCTACGCGCGGGGTGCGCTCTTCGCTAGGGAGAGTTTGGTTAGCGGGCAAGAAAACCTGAGGTGCCCCAGAAGCCCCAAGAGCTTCTGGAGTAGATGTGGCACCGGTTTCGAGTGCTGGAGTACACATGGTTGCTTGAACCGGTGGTTTAATGGGAGTGGACTTAGCGCGAGGACTAAGCTTGGACGTAGCTGGCGTAGCCGCCTGGACAGGGGAGGCAATACCGGATGGCCTTGCAGTACACTGTTGTTAGGGTTGAAGTCGCTTATTTAAGAGTTCGAGTTGTTTAGTTAAAAGAGAATTTTGCTTTTGAAGTGCTGCAACTTGCTGGCGAAGGGCCGCAAATTCGGGAGAAGGAGGATCGACAGAAAGGGGTGAGAAAGGCTCAGAAGCAGCTTTCCCTGCCCAACTGCTCACCTGAGGTACCGCCGCTGGTGCTTCGAGCGGTGGGAATGCTTAAGTGTCGGCGTGGAGTGGTGGAGCCGAATGATGCAGGTTGGTGCTGCTGTCTGGCTGTGACGAACATGAGGTGGTCCCTCGAGGAGTTGTTGAGGGCTGCTTGCGTTTCCGATATTTTTGATATTTTGCCGTGCAGCCACTGGTCCCAGTCTCATGGGCGCCGTGGCAGAGGAGGCACTTGGGGTGGCAGTCGTGGGAATTGAGACCTGCAGGTGCGGGGGTTCCACATTTGGCACGCTGGGTTGGAGCGGGGTGAGGACACTGAGGTGGTCGATGACCGATGGTACCGCACTTGGTGCAAACAGGGACCGTTTTCTTGTAGGCGCGGATATACGTCGCCACGCAGTGGTAGAAGAGGAAGCGGGGTAACTTCGCGCCCTCGAAAGTCACCACCGCCACCGCGGAATCTCCGAGTTTGCGTACCGCGAGGATAATACCTCGTGGCCAATGAAGTTCTGACTTTATCTTCTCCGGGCTTTCAGCAGGCTTTATGTTGATGACGCCCTTGCATGTATCCCCTGGAGCCTTGGCGTGGCCCCGAACGGGCAGCTGCTGATCCCCCACTTGCAGCTGGAAGTCCCAAAGGAGTCGCTGTGCCATAGGCAAAATGGTGGTGCTACAGACCAAGATGTTTTGTTCCCAGATCGGCCACACTTGAATTTGCGTGGTAGTCTGGTCGCCGAGGTAGCTGCGGATGGCGTCGCCTGCGCGATCGGCCGGGACGAATGTGCGTAGCTCGCAGGGAACGCGAGGTTTCACTACTACGATGTAGTCGTCGTGAGAGAGGCAAGGCGTTTGACGCGGACGCCACTTGCGTTGCTTCGCTGGCTGCGAGGACGGAGCAGAGGTAGGCACACCACCGGAGGGATGGCGCACCGGCGTTCCTTGCAAGGCTGAAGAATGGTGGCCCGCTGTGTCGTATCGTTGTTGTTGAGACGCAGACTTCGATTTCGCTTGCTTGCGTTGCCACAGCCTCACCATGTCATCGAGGTATTCATCTTCTGATGGCATAGTGTTTTCGGAGGATGAAATCTCCATGGACAGCATTTGGCTTGAGGTAGGATCATAGCCCGTAACTACGTCAGCGGCCGCCATCGCCGGGCTGAGAGCCCTCAGCGAGGCGGCGTTGTAGCCGGGAGTGAAGGACGTCCCTCAAGTTGTCAAAACTCGACCCACCTGGACGAAGGTCTTGTCTAGGCGAAGCGGAGAACTTGGCGGTGACGATATATCCAAGTTTCAGGGGTACCAAGGTGGATGTTCGCAGAAATAGCAGGAAATCTTCGGAGGCGATGTGGAGTGCGTCCGTCACCATCGAGCACTGGCAGCGCCCCCCCCCCCCCCGCTTGGCCGCATGTCCGTCCATCTGTGGTTCGTCCGTCCACCCCGCCGCGGTGCTCTAGTGGCTAAGGTACTCGGCTGCTGACCAGCAGGTGGTGGGCTCAAATCCCGGCTGCAGTGGCTGCATTTTCGATGGAGGCAAAAATTTTGTAGGCCCGTGTGCCGAGTTTTGGGTGCAGACTAAAGAACCCCAGGTGGCCTAAATTTTCGGAGCCCTTCCTCTACGGAGTCTCTCATAAACATATGGTGATTTGGGACGTCAAACTAGACATATAAATCAATCAATCAATAGTTCGTCCGTCCGACTGTGTTTTGTTCACCCTTCCATCCACCCGTCGTTAGTCTGTCTGTGCACCCTTGCATGTGTGGTTCATCCTTTCATACTTCCGTGGTTTGTCCGACTGGTTATCCTTGCTGCGTGCGTCTGTCTATCCGTCTATCTGTGGTTCGTACGTTCATCCATTCGTCCGTCTGTAGCTCACACTACACACATCTCAGTGTAGCCGAGCTAAGCCACAGCTATTTTTTTTACTTATAAGATCAAGCATCACTGTTTTTATAGAAAGGCAGTAGGCCGTAGCAATTGATGGCATGCCCCTTCTTTAAAGTTGCAGAATTAATGTACGCTATTTCAGATAATCACCTAAATTCAAGGCCGCAACCTTGGAAATACCAAAACTGAGCTCATCAGGGGCCTAGGGGTGGCGGCAGCTGTGTTACGTCAAAACAGAAAGTCACATGACGTAATAAAAAAAAATAGTGCATTGCTGCATATTATGTTCAGAAGAAAATGGCGAGTGGTCACAGATAATAAAATAGACCACTGATTCTTTGCGTTTGGTGTGTAGTGTTTCCATTTTGATCTACAATGAAATGTAAAAAAATTGCTTCTTTTGTCTGCGACAAGTATATAGCGCTAAACCACAGAAATTATCGATTGGACCTTCTGAGTAATCGATTGAGCATTCTCCCTTACTCTAAAACCAAACTAAAATATCTTACAGGCCACGCTCGCCACTTACAATCGGTAAGAAGTTACCTAGTGCGCCGGTCTCTCAATAACACAAGCATCTCCAGTTTTGAAACTTCGTGTGGTTTTTTTTTTTTTGAAATGATCAAATAAGCGGTACACTAGTGTATTTCGGACGACTTATTGCTTACACTCAGCACATTTCGCTGTGACGCGTTTTTTTTTTCGTGATTTTTTGTAGCATGAGCTTTTTGTGTCTGATGTGCAGATGGCGCATTCCTTGTGAGCTTTCAGCGCTCAGTTTCAATATAGCATAAATTTGCAGCGTTTTAAGAAAAAATATCGCATAAACTAACAGCGTCATAAGAAAAATATTTTTCCTTAGTGTATTTTTTAAAGTTTCGTCTCCATTACAATACGTGGTACTTGTTCTTGTTTTATGTTAACATGTACTGTACCCACCCTGTTACGGCCATAACGGCCAACAGTATTTGGAAATAAAATTGGGGTCCTTAGTTACGTAGGTTAATATGTAAAACTAAACGTGTTATCTGAAATTTTTACAATTATTTGTATGTCCTCAGTGATCTCATTCTACAACTTTTTATATACACGTTTGCACTCCTGTTAATAGGTACAAAGTTATTGAACGAGTTTTTGTGAATTGCTCATATTAGTGTAACCATAGGTGTGGCCAAGTTTCCCCACCTTGGCGTAGAGCTCGTTTTCAAAGACTACAGAGACCTCACAGTCATCATCTCTTGACTCACTTTTGACTGCACTTACAAAGAACCACTCAAGCTCAGGTAGAGTCTTGTGTCGAAGCCTGAGTGAGTTCGGTTGAGGAAAATTTTCGCAAGTGTAAGCTCAAGTGAACTATATTAAAAAAGTGTATTGGTTCAGTTACCCTGAGTGAGCTCCACCTCCTATCTACTTTCAAGCTTTTGCTTTCGGCAGTCGCCAACCGATCTAAGGTGGATGCGTAGCCCTTCGTACCATCTGGATTCAAAGCTTCAGGCTTCCTGTCTTTCTTCAGGGTGTGACGTTCGTTTACATGAGCTTCTTTAGACATACCCGAAGAAACCAAGCCATCAAACAAAATTCAGGCGCACTGTATATATTTAAATTATTGTCATCATTTAATATACCTAGGAATATTTCACGCAGGCAATGTCACAACTGACATTATTAGCTAAACTACACACTTGTAGCAGTGATGCAATAAGAATACTGAAGGGCAAAAACATCAACGCAGTGAGAAAGTAACTTACCTGGAGTACACACGAAGCTGGCGTGTAGCCTGCACTGCCCCCGCTGCCAACGTGTGAGCTGTGCGCTAGACCAGACGGTGCATCTTTGATGCGGAGTGCATAAGAGACACTGTGTCGCAGTTCCTTGTTGACAACCCGGCGTTGCAAGACCAGTTTTTTTTTGTGAGCTTTTGCCACAGGATGACGCCAACGGTCACCACAGACAAAGAGCTCACTTGCACTTTTTTGTAAGCGGACCCATAAGCCCTATACACGGAAAGGCGTCAAGAAAGCTCTATTCAAAGACGGATGGGCATTCGCCGATGCCGGCAAGTGTGCCGCCGGGAGATAGTTGTCGCAGAGCCTTGAATAAGTACATCAGAGCATCGTGACGAAGGTAAGCACGCAAGGTGGATCGGCAAATACCATTGGCGGGTCCACGCCCAAGCAAGTCAAGTCCCTGAAGGCATGGCGAGAATCATCATATTGGGATGGAAAGGACGTAAAGTGACACACTGGCAAGATAACGCCAGATGCGCAACAGATGGCATCGATGGTGATGTGGCCATGGTGTGGGCGTAAGCGGAATGCTCGTAGTCGTGCCGAGGGCTAGTAGACAATGTTGTGTGCCCCTGAGTGTCGCTTCCGCTAATGAAGCCACCTTAACACCTCTTGGACAGACGGCTTGAGGCAACCCCTATCCGCACACCTGTGATCCTGTGACGCGTGCTGTCATCTGTGCACGGGGGAAGGCAATTACAACGAGAAGAAAAGAGAACGGTGAAGTTGTTTTGTGATCAATTTAATTACATTGCATTTATGCAAGGTAATTTGTGCACTTCAGTTAAAGACTACCAAGACTCGTAAGGTCCCACGCACCTCGGAAAACGATGTTATGCAAAGCATGCGAAGGGAAGGTAACAGTGTTGTAATTTTTTATTGAGCGAAACGTTGCGAGATGACGCTAAAGATATGTGAAAACGTGCACATATACATATGTTCAACAGTCGCATATGTTTTACATAGCCAGTTTTTTTTCAGTTGCGTATCGACACCAACAGCAACATGGTCACTAGCAACGGCGATATGCTGTTTTGTAGCGCTTGTGCTCGCGAGAACTGTAGCCCTGGGCACTGGTACATAAATCAACTTCAGTAGATGGCGCTTTACGACAACTGATGATAACCCTATACGTGACAGCTGTATCAAAGCAGTACATATGTGATGTTTATAAAATTAACTGGCACCAGTATTGATCTTTCATGAGCATTACGCCTGTATGGGGTATGTTTCTAAAGCAGTTCCAAGACCTGGCGTGGATGTGTGGTAGATTACTTGACTGCAACGTGGAATGCTTTGGCTCGATTTCTGCTGTCTACAACCTTTATTTTTTGCAGCTGTTGGGTCAACGCCTGTGTTGTCGGTTTTTTTAACGATCTCACATTTAAATTGCAAATGTCTGTTCTTGCCGTTCCTCGATAGATAGAAACTATCGAACTCCTTTGGCGCATACACGCATGCTTGTGGCATACCTGTATACCACCCGTGGTATACGGGTATGTAGAAAGAAGAGAAATCTATTTAAAGTGCAGTCACATTTCCTGAACTTGCATGCTGGTAACATTTATTAAATACACAAATGGTGCTTGTCTAAATAGTCCAGAGGCTAGTTTGAGCCCCTGAGGTACAGAAGACAGCTCGAGACATGAAACATTGTGCAGTTATCCGTTTTCTTTGTTTGGGCCTTACAAAGAGCAAAAATGCACCTAAAAAGACAAATGTATTTCTAAAAGAATTCCATAGTCTGGGACGCATAGACATCTTTGTATAGTGGAACGAAACAAAAATACCAACGAAAGTAAGAGAAGAAAAAAATTGAAAAAGATGTTTCAGCTCGCTACGCGGATGCCTCGTTCAAGGTGACCTTTTCCAAATCATTGTGAACAAGTCCCCCGTGTAAGGATGCAAAGCGTCCTACATGGAGGGATTTCTTTACATTAATCTTTCTCTTTACAGTTTTTTTTTCATTTTACCTTGGCCTCCGTTTTTTTGTTTTATTTCAGTATGTCTCGTCCCGAGCACATGAAATTTGCTCACACTCTCGACTGCAGAAAACGTTCATATGTACCTGAAGGAGACCGACACGCTAAAGTACTGCGATTGATACTTCATTGGCATATGGACGTCTACAAAACAATTTCCTGCCACCGTAAAGATCATTGGCTGCTCCCGGACTTTGCAAAATCCGATCGCATGGTTAGCAACTTTCCACGTTGCGTAATTTAAACTTCTAACACTCACCCTCTACCATTTCAATACACAATAAGAGGCACACGTCTGGGCTGTGTCAAATTTGGGGACTTCTGGACTATATTAAAGCTTAACTAAAAAAATGGGCAGCACATCGAAGCTATCCAAATAGATAGACAGGCCTCACGTTTGCTATGAAAGGCAGAAAAGGGGTAGGCGAGACTTATCAACACTTTCTGATCACTGGCAACACGTATTAACTTTTTATTTATTTATTCATATTGTCAGCCCAAGGGCTAAGACAGGAGTTGGGGTTACATATCTGGCACGTACAAAGAACATATTTGGAAACAAGTTTCACAGTGTACGCTCAAGACGCATGCTATATGAAAATAACAAAAACAAAAACGCAAATTTATATCAGAATACATCCCGTATAGGTCACGGATAAAAGAAACGTGTTCGAATACATCTCGTACACGTCACCAAAAAGAGAAAAAACATTTGAAGTGATATAGTACATATTGAACATATTGATATAGTACATTGAACATATTCAACTGACGAGGAACAAGCAATTTGGTTACAAATATTCTGACAAAGCCTTTTCGAACCTTTGTAAATCGCAATGTTCGACTATGTATTGAGGTAATTGATTCCAGTCATCAATGCTCCGAACCAAAAACGAATACCTGAATAAATCTGTTCTGTAGCTAAGTGGTGTGATATGTTTCGAATGTTTTGTTCTGGATGTGTTAAATGGCTGAAGTGCAATGTGTTCCTTTCGGTGAACTTTGTAGTCTCCATTGAATATCTGAAAAAAGAATATCAGTCGATTATGTTGCATTTTTCGTTTCCCCATCATTAAACCGGCTCTGTCTCTAAGCTCACTAATAGACTGGGTTTTGGAATAAGAGTTCAAGATGAACCGTAAGGCTTTGTTTTGTATACGCTCACATTTTAGTGCGTTTTTTGGTGTATGGTTCCCATAGATGACTGGCGTAGGTCAGTACTGGTAGAATAGTCATTTTATACGTCATTGTTTTAGCTTCCGGGGTGGCACCGTGAAGCTTTCGTCGCAACGACCTAAGTATGCGCATGGCTTTATTGAAAACACTGTCAACATGCATGGACCAGTTCAAGTCATGTGTAAGATGAACACCTAGATACTTAACATTCTTTACTTCAGTCAGCGCTGTGCCTTTAATGCTGTAAGAAAAGGATAACGGGTCTTTTTTACGTGTCATGCGCATGAAGAGAATTTTTGATGCATTCAGTTGCATTTGCCATTCGTCGCACCAAAGACTAGTTTTTTGTAAATGGTTATCAAGCTCCAGCTGATTGTCAGTGGAGCTTATCTTCGCATACACAATGGTGTCATCTGCATAATTTTTTATAGCTATTTGCTGAGAAAAATCGGCACCCATGTCACTGATATAGATAGAGAAAAGTAAAGGGCCTATTACGGACCCTTGCGGCACGCCTGATCTGACTGGTTTATTGGTGCTGGAGACATTATTTAATTCAACAAATTGTTGTCTATTTGACAGATATGCCTCTATCCATTTTAATAGCTGACTGTCACCAGTCAAACAAGACAACTTTTTAAGCAACTTTCTGTGAGATATTTTATCAAGTGCTTTTCGGAAATCAATAAATATGATGTCTACTTGACCTTTTCCATCTAAACACTGACCAATTTCATGCGTAACCTCAGTAAGAATTGAAATTGTGGAATATCCTTTGCGAAACCCGCGTGGATTATTACCTAAAATACCATTTTCTTCTACAAACTTCATTAGGTGAGTAGTCAAAATGTGCTCCAGTGTTTTACAACAAGTACTTGTCAAGGAAATTGGTCGAAAATTTGTGACGTCATATTTGGAACCCTGTTTATGGATCGGTATTACCTTGGCACGCCTCCAATCTATCGGAACGTCACCGGATTGAAGTGATTTTCTGAAAATGTTCAACAGATAAAATGAACACCACTCGGCATAACGCCTTAAAAAGGCGTTGGGAATTTGATCAGGTCCAGGGCATTTTTTTACATCTACTTTAAGTAAGAGACCCTGAATGCCTTCTTGTGTTATAGTTAGCTCAGGTAGACATTGCTCATTAGAAATTCGCACTTGAGGAGTTGAACCATCGTCCCTAATGAAAACCGATTCAAAATATTCATTAAATTGGCAAGCCATCTTATAATTATCCGTGATAGGTACTTTATCGTTCTTCAAAAATTGGATGCCAAGTTTTGGTCCTTAAAGGTACCTCCAAAATTTTCCCGGTGATGTTTTAATGAAATCGGTAAGAGTTTCATTCATGTACCTGTGTTTCGCTTGAATAATTTCTATTTTGAGTTCTTGAGAAAGGGAACTGACGTAATGACGTGTTTTTGTTGACAATGGTTTTTTTAGCCCTCGTTTTTTTCAAGAGTCGTTTTTTCTGAATTATTTTTCGGCCATAAGTGGACTCATAAGTAGGTGGACTCAAATACATACGTTTATTTTTCCATTGTGATGAAAACGATTTCATTTAGTTTGTTGTAGTGTGTATGTTTTTACACGACTATAAGTGAGAGACCGTTACACTAAATACACCAAAAAAAACACATCATTCGGATTCTAGAGCCCCTTTTTAAACCCTTATTTTTGATGACGGAAGCGTAATAAACTTGATATTAATGTATGACTAAATTTTGGGCTTATCCGGGACCGTAAGTGTGACTAAAGTATTTAAAATCGAAGATCTCCTATTTGTTAACTGCCACTTTGGAATGCTGTGTCACTCCTTTCGCTAATTTTTTTGCGTGTTTGCGCGATATTCTTTTGAACATTAAGAGACTGCCTTGCTTCTCAAATGTACTGTTCGGGACAATGAGAACATTCGACCTAGTAGATAACGTGGGAACTA